CTAAACCTCTGGAGCCAGTGCACTGGGCGCTGGTGCCATGCAGAGAGACAAGACAAAAAAAGGGCCAGCCGAGGGGCGCCAAGCGCTTTTGCAGCCGGCCAAGCCATCGTAGAGCTGCTCCCCCAGTGCCTGTCAGCCCTAAACTCGCATACGAAGCCCCGTCCTTGGAGGTTCATGGGTACTTGATAAGTCTACCCGCAAGAAGCTTACAGCGATAGTTGCCCTACATATTCTACTTAGGAACTACCCCTATTCTACTTATATGTAACCATATAGTTGCCCTACTTATTCTACTTCTAAGTACCCTAATGAACCTCCCAGCAGATCTGCTTTGGCAAGGCCTCCTGCGTCGGATCTGTGACTGGGTGGCCCTCAGGCGCGCCAAGGTGCTCGGGGCCGCCTTCGATGGCTGTAAGTAGGTTTCGGGTTTAGGGTTTAGGGTTTTGGGTTTAGGGTTTAGGGCTTAGGGTTTGCTGTAAACAAATATGTAAAAAATTGTGTCTGGGTTCCTGCTGCCATGTTTTGAAGTCTTGGGTTCGGGATTTGGGGTCCGGAACTTGGAGAAACTTTATGTGCGGGGCTTTCGGGCTTTAGGTTCGCCAGAGATCCTGCCGGGCTCTTGGAAATTCTGGGAAAGCCTGGGTCATCGACATCGGCAAGAATCAATGAAGGCCTACTGTACCCGACCAGGCTGCCTGCAGCCTTTGTGGTGTACTGAACAGCGGTGAGCATGATACCAATCTTGTTGCGAGCAGGTGAAACCACGGATTTTGAGGAAGGAAGGAGCCACTATTGATGACGAGTATGGCGATCCCGAGTTGCCAGCAAGAAGGCCTACTTGTACGCAACAGAGCCAGTGCAGCGTGAAACAACAAGTTCTGGCAAGTGATGGCCATGACACAACAGATCACACTTCCCATAAGAGAGGCGCAGATCTCATCTCCATTAAGAGGCTGCTAACCCTCCCCTTCGATCCCATCGAAACCCTGAGCCCTCAACCCAAACCTTAAGCAAAAACATTGTTTTTTTGCTGTTTCTGAGGAATCATAGTACCCAAAAACTAAAAAATCACCCCCCAAGTATCCCTAAGAAACCCCTAGATGTTCTGGGGTCCGGCCATGGCTTGCCCTTTCAAAGATGCGGCAGGGCCGCCAACGGCGATCCGCTTCCGCGTTCCTGCCGGGATGAACAAAACCCTTGAGAAACCTGCCTAGACTTACTTCTCCAATAATTAATAAAGGGACAAAAGGGTTAAATTTCATTATTCCTACTAAGTAAGGAACCCCAAAAAGTTTAAAGTTCAGCTGTTTGAGAAGTAAGTATCAATTCTGTAAATGCAAGAAGCCTCTCGCGGCCTCTTAAACCCTGCAATGGGAAATCTATAAACTCGATACGCCCAAAAACTTGGAAACCCTGACCACCCTTGAGCCCTGTCAACCCTAAACCCTAAACCCTGAAGAGCTTGATAAGGCTGGGGCTCAGAGCGTTTCGGTTTTGAATATGCTGTCGTGAAAAGCTCCCATGGAACTGGCACCAAGTAGCATGGGAGGGATGACAGGACGAGTGTCAAGGCTCCAAGCAAAGGCCCCTTCGTCTTCTCACCTTCTCACCCCCTACACCTTAAACCCTAGAGGGTCCGTGAACCTTACTTAGCGAAATCATGGTAGGGCTGTAGGGGTTACATCCATAGGTACCCTCCATATAACCCTACTTTTATATGACCCTACTTTCATATGCTATAAATCCTACCACCATACTTAGAAGTACCTCCGAACCCCTCCCCCCCCCCCCACTTAGAAGTACCTCCCCCCCCCAAAAAAAACTGAAAACTTCCCAGGGGCCTCCCTCCCGGGCTTCGCCACGCTGGCTCGCCACGCCGAAGGCGCCGTCGAAGGCCCGGCGCTGGCGGAGCTCCGCCTGGGAGGGGGGGCTTTCGTAGCCCTAAACCCTAAACCCTAAACCCTAAAACCTAGCCCTAAACCCTAAACCCCAAGCCCTGGGGTATTATTTTGGGACCAGCTGACTGTTTTTCTTAGGCCTTTGGGGTTTCGGGTCCCAAACCTTGCTACTTGAGAGTTAGGGGGGCTGCGGGGCCAATTTTCAAGCTACAGGGTTGGGCCTGTGCCCGGCGCTGCTCCCAGCTGCGCTGCTCCTCCTGCCTTGGCTGGTGCTGGTGTTTAGGGTTTAGGGTTTAGGGTTTAGGGTTCAGGGTTCAGGGTTCAGGGTTCAGGGTTTAGGGTTTAGGGTTTAGGGTTTAGGGTTTAATGTTTAATGTTTAGGGTTTAGGGTTTAGGGTTTAGGGTTCAGGGCTTAGGGCTTAGGGTTTAGAATTTAGGGCATAGGGCTTGCTTAGGGTTTGAGGTTTGGGAACCCGAGCTCTTTGTACACATGTGACACGGGCTGTCATGCGCATCCGATTGCAGGTTTTTGTCGCACCTCCACTTCCGCACCTGGACACTCATAGCGATGGACTCAAGAATTGCGTGCTCCGACTTCATACCTGGAGCTGCACGATACAACTCTGACACCTCATGAGTACCGTCTGCTTTTCGTTGAACATGACCACAGTTTCAGATTCGTGGGCTGCACTAAACTCACCACACCCTGCCAGCACGATGGCAGGACGGTGATCGGATCTTGCATGCAGCGTTGCAGGCTTTTCCGACTTGGCCTCTCGCATGTGATGGAGGAGGAAGGCCCCGGCATGGTCAAAGAACCAGTCTGGGTGGGACATCCTTGAGTCCACCATGCTTTGTGGGCCGACCCCATGCGTCATGTACACGCTCGCTGTGCTGTTGAAGGATGAACTTGACATTCTTGGCGACCGCAAACATGGCTGGGCATGTTGCACGTGGTGCATGTTGTGCAAGTGCAACAAAAGCCTGCGTTGCGCGGCTTCGAATGTGTGATCGCAGCAGCGGGTGGAAACTACCGCGATCGTTCCACCAAGTCCGCTGATCCGGACAACCCAGGCAGCCCCCATGCAAAACAAAAACACGACGCAAACAAGAAGTCCGGAATCCCATCTCAGCAACGGCTTGACATTCCGCGAAGCCAGCATCTATGCAGGACGCATGCGCTGATGGTATTCCCCCTTGAGAAAGCCCACGGGACCTCACACTTCAAGGGACCAGGGCCCATGTGTGGAATTGCCTCCTTAGATTCCTCGCCCCCCTTTGCACTCGACCTCCTTGGGCCACGTTGTTGTTGTGTCTTGTTGGTGGGCCTTCGGGGTGCCGCCTCAGGACCCGCTATGGACCCCCCAATTAACCTTTACAAACCCTAAACCCTAAATTAAACCCTAAACCCTTAACCCCAAACCCTAAACCCTCCAACGCAGAGAAGTGGGGACCGCCACATGTGCTTGCCACGCATTGCAGCAGACGGCTTCTAGAGCTTGGGGTTCAGAGGAGACCCTGATCTTCAACGCCCTAAACCCTAAACCCTAAACCCTAAACCCCAAACCCCAAACCCCAAACCCCAAACCCCCAACCCCAAACCCCAAACCCCAAACCCCAAACCCCAAACCCACCGACATTCGCCAAGAGGCTTCAGCAGCTCGTGCTTCTGGATGAGCTCCAGATACCCCAGCTTGGGCAGAGGCTCGTAGACCTGGCTTACTGAGCCCTCGATCGGGGTTGAGGGGCTTCAGGGTTGAACCCTAAACCCTAAACCCTAAACCCTAAACCCTGAGAACTCCTGAAGCGCGCAAAGTTGCAGTTCGGGGTTGGGGGTTTTGGCTGGAGAGACAGCTCTCAAAAAACCGAGCAGTTGCGGCACCTAGCACCTAGTTACTTGGAACCCTAAACCCTAAACCCTAACATTTAGGGGATCTCCTGGAGCTCTTGAAGTTGTAGAAAACGGCGCCCAGATCGCCGAAGGCCCCAAGACCCCAATGCCCCAAACGCCCTCAACCCTGGAAACTCCCAAGGAAAGAGGAGCACCCCTCCATGAGGGGGGGGTTTTGGGGGGCACTACGGGGGCGTGCGCCTGTGGGGTGACCTCCTTGGTGCTCTCGTGGTACCGCCAAACCGCAGGCCTGGAGATGCCACCAGCAGCACCTGGCTCTCAAAGGTGCTCCCATTGAACTATAGAAGTTAAGGGTTTAGGGTTGAGGGGTTAGGGTTTAGGGTTGAGGGGTTAGGGTTTAGGGTTTAGGGTTTAGAGTTTAGGGTTTAGGGTTCAGGTTTAGGGTTTTTAAAGGTTTAGGGTTACTGGATTGGCTTTGTGATGCGGGGTTTTGCGTTCCGGGTTTAGGGTTTAGAGTTTAGGGTCAGAGCTTGAAGCTCCGCGTCCTTGGACCCCTAAACCCCCCAACATCTTCGGAAATTCTCTACTTCCAGACCAATTCGACGATCATGTCTCCAGGCCGTAGGCCCCAACACACAGTGAAAGCAAGGCCCCCATAATGGCCCTGCTACTATCGGCCCGCTGAAGGACCGTTATTAACACATTCTAGCTAGCAAAATAATACTGCAAACTGGGCTTCGCCCAGTTCGCAGGCAAGAGAAGAGGTGGAACCTCTGAGCGACTTGCAAGAAAAAACGCTCCAGAATTTCCATAGGGCTTTGCCCTCCAATGCGGGGCAACTCAGACCTATGAAAAGATAGCAGGCACGTGGAACCCACCAGGAGACTTTGAGCTGACTTTCTGACTTTGCTGACCCGTAGCTGCCGTAATTATCCGTCCACAAAAGCTCACGCTGCGCCTGCGCGATGGTCCCAGCTGGCCGCCTAGCATGTCTGCAACATACTGGCTCTGACCAGCCGGCCACCGCCCAAACGAATTGAAAAAAGAGCTTGCCCATCAAAACACGGCCCGGCGCGCCCCTCCAACAAAAGGCATTCCGCCGCACCCGTTCTCTGCTTCTTGGGCGAGATAGCAGAAAACATGTATGCTTCTCCGCTCACTATAAGGCTTCAAAATGGCCACTTCAACCTGGCCCGCTCAGCAGTCCGCGAATTGTTTGGCAAGGCGCTGCTGAGCGATCTCGTGCCAGCCTAAGCCCTCGTGCAGAGACATGTGGATGGCGTGTAGCTGTCGGCGGCCTCGCGCAGCTGCACTGCAATCTGTTGCGCCGATGGCCGCTGCTCCTCAACTGAACTTGGGGAATCCTAGCCAAAATCACAACTTTTGCTGTTTCTAGGAATGACCCAAAAATTTAAAAAAATATTTTCCCACATACCCCTAAGGTTCCTGGTCGACGTGCCAGCTGCCGGCCATCAGCGCACGCAGCGGAGGATGGCACTCGGCAGCGTTGGGCCTCGGCTCTCGGCCTTGCGCGAGCTCCCTCAAGACCACTTCGGGGTCCTTGGATATCTGGTGGAAGGGGTGATGTCCGGAGCTCATGAAGTACATGATTAAGGCGAAGGCGTAGATGTCCACCTTCTCGTTGTACTGCCGATGCCTGACGACTTCCGGTGCCATGTAGAGCCAGCTGCCGACGCCACCGGTCATGTCGTACACGTCACCGGCCACTGCGGCCATCATCTTTGAGATGCCGAGATCCGCGACCTTCACTTCACCGTGTTTTGTGAGCAGCAAATTTAATGGCTTGAGATCGCGGTGAATGATGGGCTCCTCTCGCGTGTGCAGGAAGGTGAGCGCACGCGCAATCGAAGAAGACCAGTCCAGAACCTGCCTGAAAGTCGGCCGCCACAGTGTTTGATGCTTCCGGCGCATGGCCATGAAGTGACGCTCCAGGTCCCCACCGGGCATGTACTCCGTGACGCACATCACAGGGGAGTCCTTGTCCAGGCATGCACCAATGAACAACACCAAGTCTGGGTGCCGCAAAGAAGAGAGGAGTTCGATCTCGTGCAGCAACTCATCCAAAAGATCCTGCTTCACCTCGGAGGCGTAGAGTGCACGTGATGCACCTGGATCGTAGGATTCCTGGGAAATCTTCCGTTGGAATCCGGAACTCCTGTCGAAATTTTGCGGGACCTCCACACATTTCATGACCACCTCCGTCCCCTTCCAGGTGGCCAGGTAGAGGGAGCTCTTGAGCGTTCGGCTCAGCTCCCTCTGCATGTGGAGCTCTTCTTTTCGAAGCTTCCATCGCGAGTCCGCCGCCCGGCCCAGCAACCTTGGTAGCCCAGTAGTCATACTATAAATAAGGGCACCCTTTTTTGGGTTGGTTATTTTATATGGGAACCCACAACCAAAAACACAAAAAGGGGTAAAGGGTACCACTGGGCTACCAAGTAACCTGGTTCGGTTCGTGGAATTCAAACCGGAGCTGGCCTGCTGTGGCTCCGAGCTTGGCTGTGTGGCCGCGGTGTCCGAGTCCACGGTGGAGGCCTCACCACTTGTGCCCATTGGAGACTTGAGACGCCGCGCCTCCTCATCGAGGTCTGGCATTGCATTCACGGAGTTCACGGAGATCACGGAGTCTTGGCTGTTCTGACGCGAGATCTGCGGCGTCTCCTCTGCTCCGGCCGCAAGCTGCCCTTGGACAATCGTGAAACCCCGGGGGCTCTCGGGGCTCTTTTCCATGCAGCACCAAAGGAACATGGCTCTGAGTCTGACTGTCGGAGTCAACACCAAGAGTCAAAACCAAGTGAGCCGATCTTCGGCAAGATCTTCAGCGCAGCGCTGTGCTCGAGAAGACATCAAACGGATGTGCATCAACACCGCCAACTATGGGATGATGCGACCGAAGCATTCGCACAAACTATTCGGACATGTTCAACCTACTTTCCTGTTCGATGGCTTAGGCCTTTCGAGGTCCCATGCCCGCATAAAGCTTAAGGCTCTCCTCAACCCTAAACCCTAAACCCTAAACCCGAAACCCTAAACCCTAAACCCGAAACCCTAAACCCTAAACCCTAAACCCGAAACCCTAAACCCTAAACCCTAAACCCTAAACCCGAAACCCTAAACCCTAAACCCTAAACTCCCCCCCAGGAAAAAACAAAACTGAAACCGGCCTTCGAGGCTCGGCCGCGAGGGCCGGCGGGGAGGCGCGGGGCCGAGGTCCGTGCCCTGCTTGAAGGTTTAGGGTTTAGGGTTTAGGGTTTAGGGTTTAGGGTTTAGGGTTTAGGGTTTGGGGTTTGGGGTTTGGGGTTTAGGGTTTAGAGTTTAGGGTTTAGTGTTTAGGGTTTAGGGTTTAGTTCATGGGTACTTATAAGGTGAGGGGGCTTTAGGGCTTTAGGGCTTTAGGGCTTTGGGGCTTTAGGGCTTTAGGGCTTTAGGGCTTTAGGGCTTTAGGGCTTTAGGGCTTAGGGTTTCGGGTTTTAGGGTTTTAAGTTTTTAAGGTTTAGGGTTTAGGGTGTAGATCGTTTTAAGGTTTTAGGGTTAAGGGCCGTTTAGGGTTTCGGGGGGGGGGACTTCAGGCGCTGCTTTCCTGTAAGAGCTTCAGGCACTTTGCGCAAGTCTCTATTTCCAGGCGACGATGCCCACCATTTACGTGCTTTATACGAAAGGCATCCGCCGAGGTTGCCCGAGAGGGAGAGAGGGAGAGAGGGAGAGAGGGAGAGAGGGAGAGAGGGAGAGAGGGAGAGAGGGAGAGAGGGAGAGAGGGAGAGAGGGAGAGAGGGAGAGAGGGAGAGAGGGAGAAGCATCCGAAGCTCTAAGAAAACAACTTCTTAACCTTCCAAATCCCTATGCCTCAAAACTCTCTCTCTCTCTCTCAGGGGTTTCCGTTTCTATCCCCATGGTACAAGCCCTAAACCCTAACCCTAAACCCTAAACCCTAAGCCCTAAGCCCTAAACCCTAAACCCCAACAAATCTTCCGTCTTCGCGAGCCTGGAGGATGCCTCCCACGACGGTGGCGTCGAGGGCACTGGGGCCCCTGCTCGCATTTCGGGCTTTAAGGGGGAGCCGGGGAACCCCTCCAAAACAATCCGAGGGGTTTAGGGTTTAGGGTTTAGGGTTTAGGGTTTAGGGTTTAGGGTTTGGGGCCCTGAATATGACCCCTAACCTCCTTTGGGGTCTGATGTATGGGCCCCTAAATTTGCAGAGGGTATGCAAGGGGTATGTAAGGGGTACCCTTTTAAGGGCCCATACCAAGGGACCACGTAGCTACCCTGAGAAACAGTGCCAACCCTACATCCTAAACTTGGGTAATAGGGGGTACTACAATCCCTATTAAGGATTGGTATACGGGGCAACATCCCAACCCTAATCCCAGAAAGGGGCAACAAGCTCTAAACCCCCGCCCTATACACCCTCTGCACCCCAAAAAAACCTTAAACTGCCAAAATAGGGGCACCTGATGGTCAACAGAGCAGTCGTTACAAGGCGATGCTGGCAGCATTAGCCTGAACTGCCCTACAGAGCCAGCCCAAAATTGTTTCTCAAAACAACCGATCCCGCCTGAATCCTGAACCCTTGAAACGCTGCCCCCCAAACCCCGAAGGCCCGCCGAACCCTTAAGCACCTGAACCCCAAACCCCTAAACCCCTAAAGCCTAAACTCCAAAACTAAACCCTAATCCCTAAACCCCAGACCCTAGACCCCAAACCCTAAACCCCTAAATTCCAAACCCTAAACCCTAAACCCCAAACCCGAAACCCTAAACCCCCCCCTATTCGGCCCTAAACCCCCAAAGACCGCCCCGCCTGGGAAGAGAGAAGTGCCCCGCTGCGCCCTCGAAGCGACGGAGCCGCTCGGGTCGACGGCTCTGTAGCGCCTCGCTCTTTTTTGCTTTGGGGCTTTGGGGTTTGGGGGTTTGGGGTTTGGGGCTTTGGGCTTTGGGGTTTGGGGTTTGGGGCTTTGGGGTTTGGGGTTTAGGGTTTAGGGCTAGGGTTTCGGGTTTGGGGTTGTTTAGGGTTTGGGATTTGGGATTTGGGGTTTGGGGTTTGGGGCTTTGGGGTTTGGGGTTTAGGGTTTAGGGCTAGGGTTTCGGGTTTGGGATTTAGGGTTTAGGGTTTAGGGTTGCTTAGGGTTTGGGATTTGGGGTTTGGGGTTTGGGGTTTGGGGGTTAGGGTTTTAGGGTTTTAGGGTTATAGGGTTTTGGGCTTGAGGGTTAGCGTGAGAGGTTTCAGGGTTTAAGGGTTCTGCTATGCTTTGGCTCTCTTTCATTTTCGAGCGACCCACCGTGGGAGTGCGTTTTCGCATCTTCACACTGCCGGCACTTCCCACAATGTCCCCTTCCAAGAATCAAACACTTTGGCACTTTGGAGAAAACAAGACAAACCGCAAATTATTTTACTTCGAAGTCGAACATCCCCACCCTCTCTTGGTAGAGATACTCTGGGGTTGGGCACTCCAGGGACACTCTGGGGCTGGGCACTGGGGACAGTCTGGGGTTGGGGAATTCCGGGAGACACTACAAGGAGACTCTGGTTGGGCACCCCAGGGAGACTCTTGGGCCCAGGACACTCTCGGATTGGGCACTCCAGGAATCTGAGGTTGGGCACTGCAGGGAGACTCTGGGGCTGGGCACACCGGGAACACTGGGTTTGGGCACTTCAGGGGGACACGCCAGGGACACTTTGGGGTTGGACACTCCAGGGATGAGCGAGGAATAGACCGGGCGAGGAGGCGAGGAGAAGAGTTGAGTTTAAAATCTAACAACCCCGCACCGAGGGTGGGGAAAATTATGAGGCTCTCCAGTTGGAGTGTCTAATTCTAAAAATGGTGCCGGGAAATTGTTTGCTTTTGCGTTTCTCTTTTTTTGGTTTGTCGAAAAGACGGGGTGCTGCAATGCCTCATACTCGGCGCCTTAAGAAGATGAAGGACGGCTGACAGTCCCGCAAGTGCTCGCGGCACCTTTTTTGTCTGACGAATCTGCCCTCGGACGCAATAGCTAGGCCTAGTCTTCTTCATGTCCAAGTTTTCTAGACAAAGATGGGATGCTGGCCACCGCCTTCTATCTCCATCAGTGAATGACAAACCTCTCGGGCTTCTTAGTTCGAAATACACAGTGTAGCTTGGAACGAAGAATCTCTTTCTCATGTTGAGAAAACGCCTCTCAGCTGTAACGCAAACAATTAACAGAAAACGTGGTTCATTTCAGACAGCCCGTCAACAAGAAGACCTACGAGAACTTCTGCACTATCAACTCCCCTTTCATCAATGTCTCCTGCTCGAAAGAGTCTCCCCCCTTCCTCCCCCACCTACGAGAGAATGCCTGCACTCATAACCGCGAAGGAGACTCTCTCATGTTTTCCCTCTCACCCTCAATGGAAAAAGGACATCTTCAGGGACGGAGGGAACTTCTTCTGTGCCAGCTTATCATAACAAAAAGTTCCCCTTACATCAATCAGAACAAATATTAAAACTTCTAAGATAAACAAGAAGTACGATAACTTGCGGCACTTTGTCATGCGTTTCAGAAAGTAAGCGGAGAAGCTTCAAGGATGTTTTTGTCAGTTCATTGCGGAAACTTACTCCTACTGTTAGAATGAAACAGGATAGCTTTGGGTGCTCTTGGCCCGGCGATGCACAGGGTTGTCCAAGCTCGCCACTGCAAGAAAAAAAACGCACGCCCAAACCTAAACACTTGACCCCCGCATCATGAGCCCAAACCCCCTATCAACGCCCTCAAGCCCTCTAAACCAAAGCAGGCCCCCCTCCAAGCCCTAAACCCTAAGGCCCTTTCTGCAAATGCCCCTAAGCCCTCTAAACCAAAGCAGTCCCCTGCCTCTGTCGCCACAGCCCTGACTCCCGACTTCGCCCCGGCAGCTTCTTGGAAGAGCTTGGCGTACCTTCGCGCGTGGAGGGGGTGTAGGGTTTAGGGTTTTGAGGCTTGGGGTTTGGGGTTTGGGGTTTAGGGTGTTGAGTTATAGGGTAGTTTAGGCTTTAGGGTTTTGAGGTTTGGGGGTTTGGGGGTTTAGGGTGTAGCTTGTGTGGTCAATCTCGGCGCGGAAGAGAAAATGGGGGATGCTTCACATGTCTCAGGCATGAGCCCAACTGCCACACACCACAAGAAGCCAAAATCTGTTCTTCTCTTGCAGGCTGCCCAAGAACCTAAGGTTGCTCATTAGAACCCTAAACCCTAAACCCTAAACCCTAAACCCTAAACCCGAAACCCGAAACCCTAAACCCTAAACCCTAAACCCTAAACCCTGAACCCTGAACCCTGAACCCTAAACCCTAAAATCCTGCAAAAGAAGAAGATTTGGGGGTCCTGAAGGTGCCCGAAGCACCCCCGTCAGGCGAGGCACTCGGGATTGGAAGCTGGGTCGGAAGACGTGCCCCAGACGCGCTTCCCATGATGGTGGCCATCCCACATGGGGCAGAAGCTGAAGATTCCCAAAAAAGCACAGGGGGTTTGGACTGGCCTTTACTATGAACAACAAGATCCCCAAAGAAGGCTCGAAAACCCCAAAGAAGGCTCGAAACTGGGCTTTACTTCCGTAGGGTTGGGCTCACTACGTAGGGCTGCTTGGGCTGGCGGTTGGAACCAAGAAGCTTCGGAACCCTAGCCATCTGGTAGAACCTAACGTGGGCCACGCATGACTCGTGGATATGGAGCCTCACAGTGGTCCCCACATGACACTGAGCCAAATGGCTGACAAGTTGGCGTGGTGAAAAACGGTGGTTGCTCGGAATGAGGGTGTGCTGCTTTTTTGTTGCTTCCTGTGACAGGGCTCCTTACCAAAAAAGAGATCCACAAAAAGGGGCCCTCATCACTTCGCGGGTGTATCTGGCCCTCCTGTGGCAAACACCCCTCCGGGCGCGCGGCATCGTGGAGGGCGATGTCGCTCTGAAGGAACCTGCTTAGATGAAGCGGGTTCGTTCAATTGTGGCCGGCAAATGGCTCTTCCGCCCAGACGAAGACCAAAGAAAACTCAGGAAGCAAAGGGCCCCTCGCATTTGGGTAGCTTCTTCAATCCCCCTGGTCGTGAAGGCCTACCCCCAATAACCAACTACGACCACGAACTTCCGACGCCACTCTGACATTCCACGGGAGGTTCGGAGGGTGGTGATCTAAATTATGGCATGATGTCCAGTATGGGGTCTAAATGAAGGGATCTCCCTTAGAACAACTAAGCTTGAGAGGGAGGGATTGGGTTGCTCACCGTGTCACGCCGTGCATGGTGTCCGCGTGCACGGGCTGCGCGACGGCACCTGCACAGCTGAGATTGTCACGATACTCCTTTCAACACCCTTAACATCTGAGACGCCTCAGCGGCAAAACCAGCTCACCCCACATCCACGAGCCCCATCGAACTACTCAGCTCCTTCCAATATAGGGGGGCTTCCGAAAATAGGGGTACCCTTTTTGGGGGTCCCTCTTCGGGGACTCTAATCTATTTGGTGATAAAAGGGGTACCCCTATTTGGGGAAATACCCATATCAATAGTTCATCTGAGCATTGCTGCGATGGCGGTCGCCATGCCAAGCTTCGACGATGCTCTGCAACCCTCATCCAACGCCACACCCTGCAGGGCCGCAAAATGTGCCGCCGCTCCCTTTCCAGAGTCCAGCAGCTTGTTGCAGGCAAAAGTGGCCAACCCACATCGTCTGGCACAGGAAAAGTCTGCCTCAAGGTTAAGGCTGTTAAGGCTCAGGAACCCCAAAAACCCCAACCACACACCCCCTAAACCCCAAACCACAAACCCTAAACCCTATGCGTTTAGGGTACCTTGAGTTCTTCTGAAACCCAGGCGCAGCTCCTAGGCCTCTCCGCACTCCCGAACGAGTCCTGGGTTTCAGGGCTCTCGCTATGGGTTTAGGGTTTAGGGTTTAGGGCCTAGGGCTTACGGCTTAGGGCTTTTAACCCCCCAACCCTGCTTGATCTGTCCCACCAATCCTGGGGGATCAAAGAGTATGGAATCAATATAGATCTGCTTCTTCTTCTTCTTTTTCTTCTTCTTCTTCTTCTTCTTCTATAAGGGTTCTATATTGTTGGACCCCCGCCCCGCCCCCCCCCCCCCCCCTCACGCCCGACCCGGAGGATCCTAGAAACCTTCAAAAGAAACCTAAGCCCCCATAAACCCTAAAACCTATAAACCTTCAAACCTTCAAAGAAATCTACAAAACGCCCTAAACCCTAAACCCCTAAACCCCGAAACCCTAAACCCTAAGCCCTAAATCCTACACCCTAAACCCTAAGCCCAAAACCCTGGAACCCCATCCACAAGCCCTGGCCTCCGCTGCTGCTGATGGCCGCCAGCTCGACCTGCTTTGGGTTTGAGGGGTTTCAGGGTGGTTCAGGGTTCAGGGTTCAGGGTTTAGGGTTTAGGGTTTTAGGGATAATACGAATATGGGGGTGTAAGACAATAGGGAGGGGGGGGGGGGTTGGGGGGGGGGGTTGGGGGGCGGGGGATGGGAGGGGGTGCCCTTTTCGGGGGTCCCTTTAAGGGGGTTCTATTCTATTTGGGATATGAGGGGGGTACCCCTATGGATCCTGGGAAATACCCATGTAAGGATGAAACCATATAAAATGACATCATAAGATAGCAATGCAACCATACAATAACACAACAATCTCGGGCTTAGGGACCTAGGGAAAACATGCACACCTGTCTAACGAGCATGACAGTGGTAGCAGCTGCGCTTGGTCGTTAGTGCTATTGACGTTGGTGCTATCCGTTCCTTGGTAGCCCAGTTACCATATTATAATAAGGGCACCCTTCCTTGGGTTGGCTATTTTATAAGGGAACCCAGAACCAAAAAAAAAGGGGAAATGGGCTATCAAGGTTCCTAGTTTCGGGGTGTTTCTGAGGTTTGATGAACTGCAAAGCAGTTTCGGGGTTAGGGCCTTTAGGATGGCGCCTGGCTGACAAGCACAAAAAAGCCCAAATTCAACCCTAAACCCTAAACCCTAAGCTGCCCAAAGGCCTACAGAGCGGCCCGCAGCCCCCAAAACTCGGAGCGCACATCCAAACCCGGGGGCAGGACAATCTTGGCATCGCCTCCGCAGATGCCTGCAAGCAAAATTTGGGTTTAGGTTTCTTTTTCATTAGGGTTTAGGGTTTAGGGTTTAGGGTTTCGGGTTTAGGGTTTAGGGTTTAGGGTTTAGGGTTTAGGGCGTGGGCTTAGGGTTTAGGGTTTAGGGTTTAGGGATGTTTCGGGTTTAGGGCTTAGGGTTTTTGGTCTAGGTCTTTGATGTTTTTGGCAGCAGGGATTTGGGGTTTAGGGTTAGGGGTCTAGTGACCCTTAACATAAACCCGTTAACCCCCAGACGCCCCTATGTTCCTGAGTGCCCTCGACTGTGCAATAAATTTAGGACTTGACCCTATAATCACGGTATCGCGGGTACACACGGCTTTCCGGAAGCCCTTGAACACTGTAAATCCCCAAAACCCCAGAATTTCCGTAGACCCAAAACCTTAAACCCTAGACCTGTGCTGCTGGGTGCTGAGAGACGACACTTCAACACCTTATTGCTACTGCTGCAGTTGCAACTCCGACTAATAGGTCTAAATTGTGGGTCCCGGTTGCTCATCGCACGTGCAGGAGTCAGCAGGGAACCTTCAAGGAGCCAGATGACACGGACCATCGCATGACTCACAGCGGCAAATGTTTCAAGCACCAGTGAAGCGATCGGGTATCGTGGGGGGTGAAACATGCGACTCACCTGTGGGTCCTTAAAACCACCGGCGCGCCACGGGGGAAGAAGGACACGGGCCTCACTTGTCACTAGGCTTCCAGCCAGTCGTACCTCTCCTCTTTCCAGGCCCGCTCTCCAGCGCCATCTCCATGGTCGCGGTTGTAGCCCATGCAGGCAAGGTAAATCTTGCAAGTCTGCTTGACCTCGGGCATCATGTACATGCGGCGCAGCCACTCCATGATGTGGGGGTATTCCCCCGAGTTGAGGCGGCGTATGTTGCACTTGAAGGCCGTGAAGTAGCAGGTGTCGAAGCGTATGAGGTGCGGGAAAGCGCGGACATCTGCCAGCGAAAGGCCGTCCCCAGACTCCGCCACCAGCTGGAACTTCTCACGGCCCTCGGCAACCGCCTTCGCCTGTGTGGAACTCCGGGAGGTCTAGGGTTTAGGGTTTAGGGTTCAGGGAACTCGCAAAAACAGGTTTTGAGGGTTCCGATCGCCTTGGACTTGCAGAGAATTGCTTCCACCTGGGCCAAGGCAACGACAACTTGTGCAGCTTGGCTCTTTCATGCGCCCGTCCACCCTCATATGGGTATTTACCAAAGTAGGGGATAAACCTGTCAGCCCCAAATAGAATAGAATCCCCCTTAGGGGACCCCCCAGAAGGTTCTCCTTCGGAAACCCCATAGCCCGCGTTACCTTGCGGCACAGTAAACTTAACGTTGAGGGCTCTTTCGCAGGGTTGGGGCCCTGAGTTGGAGGCCTCGATGTTTCAACGCAAATCAGTTTCCTTTGAGCCCAATGTGGGGGGGCGGGGGGGCCCTTTGGGGAGGAGGGCGGTTCAAGCCAGCTCCTAAATCCAAACCCTTAGCCCTAGACCCTAAACCCCAAACCCGAAACCCTACACCCTAGACCCGTAACCCTTAAGCCTAAGCCCTATATACTAGCAAGCCGTAACACCCTGAACCCTTAAGCCTAAGCCCTGTACACTAGTAAGCATCCCTAAACCCTAAACCCTAAACCCTAAACCCGCATCCCTAAACCCAGCGCCTCTGCCAGGGCTTTGAAAACATTCTCCCGCATCTGCTCCTTCAACTCTGGCTCCTCGCGGGCTTTAGGGGAGTTTGGGTTTAGGGGGTTTGGGGGGTTTAGGGGGTTTAGGGGGTTTAGGAGGTTTGGGGGGTTTAGGGGGTGTAGGGGGTTTGGGGGGTTTAGGGGGTTTAGGGGGTTTGGGGGGTTTAGGGGGTTGTTGAGCATCGGAGCCCAGGGATGAGGATTCTGTGTGTCTGGGGCGCTGTTCCATGGCTTACAAACTGCACGGGCGCGATTCTTTTTCCAACAACACAAGCACGTATACGGTTCCTTTACAGCAGTGCTTTGACAGCTTCGTAGACTTTTGGCTTTACATGCTACGATACTGCGTTGCTTCGTGGTTTTCTGGGCCTTCACGGCCGTCTTTGGCATCGGTGCTCCACACCTTGCCGTCTTGAGCCAAACACATCGCGGCGGCACATCCTTTCCAAACCTTCACATTCTGAACATCCACACCCCTCCTTGGTCCTTCCGAGAGGATCGGTCCACCTCTCAGAACTGCGTTGGAACTCCTTGATCTCGAGCACACACTTGGCAGAGCTCCCTTTCCCTTCGCTCATGCTGAGGGATATTCCTCAACCCCCAACACTGCTTGTCGGTGTGGATTGTCCGGCCACCATCACATAGGAAGAAGGCTCGTGGACATACTTCTCGCACGCGAATGATTGGCTCCCTTGTTTGCACCAATCTCACCATCGCCAAGTCAGCTTGAACCCCAACCTCTATTTGGGCCACTGACCTTGCGGTCTCATTTCCCGGCGAAGACTCCGCCGCTCTCTCTTGTCGCACGCCCATTGACTGCTCCCACGACGATGCAGCCGCCTCACGCAGAGATCTCGCCCCTGCTGCCCCATCTTCTCCTCTCTTTTGTTCCCTTGCCTGGCCTGCTGCACGATTCGGCCCCCTTGAAGCACAACTTGCTCCTTGATCGTGTCTTGTAAACCGCGCCACCAGCTCGGTCAACTTCTCGTGGTCCTTCTCTCCCAGCCAGCTTCCGCGATTCACCAACTCCGATAGCTCTTTGCACTCCTTTTTGCTCAAAGGTCCGTCTTGTTGTCGTCGGGCGAGGTCGCGAAGTTTTGGAAGCTTTCTTGCTCCCCTCCTCAAACATTCACGAAAACACTCCCAAACGGCCAACACTGCGATCAGCGTAACCAATCCCAGGAAATACAGGTCCCACTCCACTCTCATCGGATTTTGCCAGTCCTCCTCCTCTCGGCCCTGCTCCTCTCGTCCAGCGCAGCACTTAACCATAACCACCACTAAAACCACTATCCTAAACACTCCAACCCACCTTGTTGTAGCTTGTGGCTGCGGCTTCGCTGCTGTTGCTGCTGTCGAGACGTGCTCCTTTTCCGCCCACCGCATTGGCCTCAATGCCACCACAACGTCGTCCACGTAGAACACGGCATGCTCCACCACCATCTTTCGAACTCTTGTAGAAGACGACGGTGAACTCGTAGTCGGCGACGTTCCAGGCAAACTTGTAGGAGGCGACGTTCCAGGCGAACTTGTATGAGTTGACGTTCCAGGCGAACTTGTAGGAGGCGAACTTGTAGGAGTTGACGTTCCAGGCGAACTTGTATGAGTTGACGTTCCAGGCGAACTTGTATGAGGCGAACATGTTGGGGGCGACTCTGACCCAAACGATGGCGGACTCAATGGAGGCGTCCCAGGTGATCCTGACGAAGGCGACGGCGAACATGTCAAGGGCGACGTTCCAGGCGAACTTGTAGGAGGCGACGTTCCAGGCGAACTTGTAGGAGGCGACGTTCCAGGCGAACTTGTAGGAGGCGACGTTCCAGGCGAACTTGTAGGAGGCGAACTTGTATGAGTTGAACTTGTTGGAGGCGACGTTCCAGGCGAACTTGTACGAGGCGACGTTCCAGGCGAACTTGTATGAGGCGAACTTGTAGGAGGCACCCTCATAGCTTTCACCCTCGGTCCCGATCTACATCTCAGCCCCCACTTTTCTCCAATGTCCTTCAGCCTCTGGCTCGGGACTTGTTTCGTGAGGATGTCCGACAACTGCACCAATCCCGGACAATGAACCAACGTAATAGCCTCGTCCTTCACCTTCTGCCGCAGCCATTCGCATTTCAACTTCAAATGCCTCGTTCTCCATGAATTGTTCTCGCCACCCAAGATCGCAAGCGCCGCTGTGCTGTCGATCATCAACACGCACCGGTGCGGGAATATTTGCATATCCCTCAACGTTGCCCTCACTGCCTCCATCATCTGCGCCCCTTCCGTCACCGAGATCACTTCAGCCTCCGCGCTGCTCAACGTTATTGTGCTATGCCTCCATGACTTCCAGCACAGCACAGTGTTCCTCCACACCACCATCGCCCCTCCATGACTTCGACGGCCTTCCGGGGCAAACGATGCATCCGTAAACGCGTACAGATCCCGGGGATCATCTTGCACACTTTTTCCCGTGAACAGGCCCATGCTTCTTGTCGTGTTGATGTAGGCCAGCAGCTTCTTCGAAATCTTGACCGCTCTTTCTGGATCCCTTGTCGTACACGACGAAACAATAGCCACTGGGAAACTTATCTCCGGTCTCGTTCTCTGCGATAACCAGAGTAGTTCTCCACACCGTTGTTGCGCATCCTTCACGTTGGCATCGAACAAGGCCTTTCCTTCAGCGTCGGTGGGGATCTCCGGCATCTCATGCTCCATCGTTAGCCATTCCTTTGTTGCTGGTAGGACGCTGTACTCGTTCTCGGCGGCGTGGGCCCTCACGATCTCCGCGGCGTACCCCTCCTGGGACAACGAGTACCCCTCCTCGGTTCTTCGAATTTCCATTCCCAGGAATCTGACTTGCCCTTCCTTCGTCACCCACTGCATGCCGCTCGTCTCCCACTCGCTATGTAGCCAACTGAAGAAGCCCTTTATGGTTTCATCCTCCCCAACCGCCAGCACATCGTCCACATAGAACACAACGTACCCGATCACGACCTCCTTCTCTTGCACCACCGCCACAATCTTGAAGAGGTTCGGGTCCGTGACGCACGGTTTCAGCGTAGCTTGCACTTCCACCCCTTTGTACTCTGCGCTGAACTTCGCCTCCGCGGCCCGCGTGTTCCTGAAGGTGGTCCACCACTTTGGACTTTGTCTGAATCCGTACAACGCTGTTTGCACCAACCAGCATTCCCCTTCTTGGGCCAGACCAGCTGCAATCACCGCCTTCGGAACCCTCAGAATGTAGCGTCTCGCCCCTTTTGGCAAAGGTGCTGTCAAAAAAGCAGCTCGGATATCATCAATCGCTGCGCCCCATCTCTTGTAGCCAGCCTCTGCAATGACTGTTCGGACGATATCGGCGGTGGCCCCGGCGCTGTAGAGGTCCTGCACAGACAACGTGTCATCTTCGACCTGGTTGCCGCAAGCCACTATCCTCACCTTTCTTTTATACTTTGCACGATCTGGGTCTCCTTTCTCTTCTTCAGGGTGCTCAGGTGGTTTCACCGTCCACACACACTTGCCGTGCACGTACTCCACGTCTTCGAGGCTATCTGCTTCCTCCTTTGTGATTCTCAGGACGGCGCCCTTACCTTCCAACGCATCGATCTCCTTCTTCATCGACGGCTTCCATTTCATCAACACCTTCATGGCTTCGCTTTGTCTCACGGTGTGCACCACCTAGAGGTCCGTCATCAGCTTCTCCAACAACTCCTCCACGTTGTCCGTGTAGATGTTCTCTATGGAGGCCTTTGCCACTTTGGCATTCTTCCTCCTCTGCTTCACTTCTTCTTGATCTTGCTCCTCAAACGTATGGACGGCCCTGATGGCTGACACCCTTACCTCAGGTGACTTTGAAGAAGAAGAGCTCACAGTATTGGCTGCTCCCGAACTTGGCCTCGAGGACTCCGACGAGGACAAGTACTTGAGCTCATCTCCCGGCAGGGCAAAACCAAGTTCACGAAGTGCATCACTGTCCTCTGATGTAAGGAAATCCGACCCCCTGATGGAGTATGCCGACAGCACCACCCTGTCGCCAGTCCACGGCTGCGTTGAATGCCAGCTCCTCGGGTTGAACGTCACAGGACGATTTGCTACTGGGAGAAGCTTGCCCTTGACCAACTTGTCGCCAATCTTTTCCATGCAACTGACTTCATCCGATTTTTCTGGCTCTCCCTCCACCCACACCTCTCCGTTCTGGAACCTGGATATGGGGAAGACCACCGTTTCGGATGACAAGTCGTTGTGGGAATCTCTATGAGGTTGCGTCCTGAGGTTCCTGAACAACACCAAGGATGTGAATTGGTGAGTCGGATGACGGGTCCTCACCCAATGGGCCATCATCTTCGTCGAGTACTTGAACATCTTGACGTTTTTCTTCAAGCCCATGACTCCTCCATGCACATAGGCGCCTGTTCCCCACTGCTTCGGAGCCCACATCTCAGGGTCTGGAGGGGAAAAAGCATCTCTTGATAGTTCATCGTGTGGAAGAAGGGCCATCAGCATCTCCAGCGTCTCCTGCGTGATGTTCTCTTTCTCCAAGCACTCCTTTGCGTATCGCTCAGGCGGGGACAAGTTCCTCTCTCGCCCCTCTTCAGGCTCCAATTCCTCCTCCAACACCCCTGGCGTTTTCCCTTTCGCTCTCCTTGTTGGAGGTTTGTACTTCACCTCACTTCCGCGAAGCTCCGGAAGCAATCTCGGCTCCAGTTCCGTTGGATCAATGAGGTTCACGCGCACGCCCTTTGCCACCACCAAACCACCATCATCTCGTGCCATGATGTGCCCATCGGTGACGTCGCCTGAGGGTCCTCGATACGATGCTCTCTTCCACCTCGGAGGCATATCCCCCTCAGACGCTGCCTTCTTTTCACCAGTGCCGGCGTACGATTTTGTCTTGTACCACACCTCTTGTCCAAACGCAGGGATCTCTGGCTCATTCGGTCTCATGCGCCTTTCCCACTTTTTTGCTGCAGCATGCTGCGCGGCCAGCGGCCAATCCCCCGGCGACGCCCTTGACGATGTCAGCAACGCTCTCACCGTTCTTTTCGTCC